AAACTCATGCTCCTCCTTAAAACTAGCTTAGCTGTGTGCCCTACAACCAACCCACTCCAACCTGGAGAATGGTGAGGCTGTTGGTATGCTGAGACCAACACTGATCATGCTGACCATTATTGTTTCCTTGTTGCCTGGTCCTCCCCTATCAGTCTGTCTGTATCCCTCTATCGTTTCAGACAAAGACTGTAAAGAGTTTGGGGCAGAGACTGTCATTTTGTTTCATGATTGGGCTGCGCTTACCACACTGCTGTCAGGTCCATGACTGGGGCTCTTACATGCTAGGACAATAGAAAGATTTATTACAATTAACAATACTACTAATAAAGGCAAAACCTGTTAACCATGACAAACTGCACCCATCATTGTGACGAGGAGTCCTGTGGCACCTTATAGACTAACTGAAGTGTAGGAGCATAAGCTTTCGTGGGCAAAGACCCACTTTGTCAGATGCATGTCTTGTAGGTGTAGGTCTCTGTCTGAGGGGTTGGAGCATATGTGGTTGTACCTCAGTGCTTGGCTGTAAACAATGGATCGTGTGGTGTGTCCGGGATGGAAACTGGAGGCATGCAGGTAAGTATAGCGGTCGGTAGGTTTTCTGTATAGGGTGGTATTGATATGACCGTCACTTATTTGTATCGTGGTGTCCAGGAAATGGACCTCCCGTGTAGATTGGTCCATGCTGAGGTTGATGGTGGGGTGGAAGCTGTTGAAATCATGGTGAAATTCTTCCAGAGTCTCCTTCCCATGGGTCCAGATGATGAAGATGTCATCGATGTAGCGTAGGTAGAGAAGGGGTGTAAGTGGACGAGAGCTGAGGAAGCGTTGTTCCAGGTCAGCCATAAAAATGTTGGCGTATTGTGGGGCCATGCGGGTGCCCATAGCAGTGCCACTGGTCTGGAGGTATATGTTGTCACCAAATCTGAAATACTTGTGTGTGAGGATAAATTCACAGAGTTCAGCCACCAGTTGTGCTGTGGCATCATCAGGAATACTGTTCCTGACAGCTTGTACTCCATCTGCATGTGGGATGTTTGTGTAGAGAGCCTCTACATCCATGGTGGCTAGGATGGTGTTTTCTGGAAGATCACCTATGCATTGTAGTTTTCTCAGGAAATCCGTAGTGTCACGAAGGTAACTGGGAGTGCTGGTGGCGTAGGGTCTGAGCAGAGAGTCCACATAGCCAGACAGTCCTTCAGTAAGAGTGCCAATGCCCGAGATGATGGGGCGTCCGGGATTTCCAGGTTTGTGGATCTTGGGTAATAGATAGAACAACCCTGGTCGGGGCTCTAAAGGTGTGTCGATTTGTTCCTGTGTTTGTTTGGGGAGTGTCCTGAGCAGATGGTGCAGTTTCTTAGTATATTCCTTAGTGGGATCTGAGGAAAGTGGCCTGTAGAATTTGGTATTGGAGAGTTGTCTGGCAGCCTCCTTTAGGTAGTCAGGCCTGTTCATGATGACAACAGCACCTCCTTTGTCAGCCTCTTTGATTATAATGTCAGAGTTGTTCCGGAGGCTGTGGATGGCATTGCGTTCTGCACGACTGAGGTTACCAGGCAAGCGATGCTGTTTTTCCACAATTTCTGCCTGTGCACGTCGGCGGAAGCATTCTATGTAGAGGTCCAGACTGCCATTTCGGCCCTCAGGAGGAGTCCATGTGGAGTTCTTCTTCTTGTGCTGTTGGTGGGAAGGTATCTGTGTGTCAGTGCACTGTTCAGTGTCGTGTTGGAAGTATTCCTTGAGACGGAGACGGCGAAAGTAGGCTTCCAGATCACCGCAGAACTGTATCATGTTAGTGGGGGTGGCGGGGCAAAAAGAGAGTCCCCGAGATAGAACAGATTCTTCTGCCGAGCTGAGTGTGTAGTTGGAGAGATTGACGATATTGCTGGGTGAGTTAGGGGTACCATTGTTGTGGCCCCATGTGGCAGGTAGGATTTTAGACAGCTTACAGTCCTTTTTCCTCTGTAGAGAAGTGAAGTGTGTAATGTAGATCTCCTGTCTTGTTTTAGTAAAGTCCATTTGCATTGTGGTATCTGGGTACCAGGCCCATAATTAGGAATCCCATAATACACCCAGAGGGACTTTTCTCTTCAGGGCTCTGGATTCAGCTGCTATTATTTGGACTTTATGACTCTATTTCCTTCTCCCAAACCACATTCTTGTAAATCATCTTATCCTATTTCAAAGTCAAACATGTTTACAGGTGTACATGTTCTTAAATTCACTATGGGAAGGGGGATTGTTGAGGGTTCTTCTAACAGCATAATGCTTATGGAAGATAGGCTAAACATGCAAAATGGAGGAAACACTTTTTTTCATTCAAAACTCAGGCTAGGTCTACATTGCCACTTTTTTTCTACAAAAGGTATCCAAATTGCTCTTTGTAATTTGCATATCTTTTTCCGATAGTTTTTTCAGAAGAGGCTTTTTCGAAATTTGGTCCATCTACACTGGGCCAAATTTCAGAAAAACCTCCTCTTTTAGAAGAGCCCTTCTTTCTCGTGGAAGGAGGAAGGCAAGTCTTCCAAAAGAGCACGTCTGCTCTTCCACAAAAAAAGCGGAAAACAGATGCGTTCCCCAGATGCAGCGGAATTTTTCCGGGATACCTCTGGTATGCCATAAAAACCCTGTAGTGTAAACATAGTCCCAGTGACAAAGTTTCTGTAAGCGTTAGTTCACCTCTGCTGGGAAGCACACTATGCAGCTACCTTAGCAGGCACTAAGAGTACATCTCTGCCTTAATCTTTACCACCCCCAATTGGGCAAGTGCTGCTTCTTTGTGAGGTTATAAACCTGGTTGGCTTCTGGCCAGTGTTCCCTCTAATTTTTCCCACCCGAGCAGAAAGAATTTTGTTATGTGCACCAAAATGGAGGTGATGTGTGACACATCATCTTCATTTAGATAGTGCCCTGTGCGGATACAAAAACGTGGATACTCATCTTATCTGTATCCACTGGGCTCAACCCGTCATTTGATCCGTGACCCGCTAGCTGGATTTTACCTTCATCTGCTTCTGCACCACAGCAGCAAGTCATCTGGCGCAGAGGGAGGCGAGAGCACAGCTGAGCGGGGGAGGGGCAGATTCTTGCAAGGAAAAAGGCAGGAAACAGGAGAGCAAAGACTGGTAGTAAAGGGTAGCATGGTGGCAGGGTGAAGGTTTTGAGAGGGGCAGGCAGGTAGGAGAAGAGAATGGATGTTGCATCATGTTCTGCTGATGCAGCGGCCGCTTCTGTCACATCAAAAAGGGGCAGAGGGGGACAGTGTCAAAGCCCTGCCTGCTTCAATCCTCATAGCAGAGGGGAGGCCCTCATTTCCTTGACAGCTCCAGCCCCACAGAACTAGGCCTTCCCCCTTCAGAACAGGCTAGCTCACTGCTTTGCTGGACTATCACCTCCTTTTCTGGAAATCAGCGACCTCCCCCAGTGGTGTGGGGTGGTGGTGTCTCCCCCAGTGCTCCCAGAGACCAGAGCACCAGGCAGCGGTGGGAGGAGGAAGGGAGGAGCAGTGCTTCTCATGCTGGGAGGGCCTTTTGGAGTAAGCAAGGCCAACCGGTTGCACCCCTTTTCCACCAGCAACAGGGGGCATGCCATGTACCCCCCCCCCACTCAGTGGCCAGGCAGGGAGCCTTATGCAGGTGTCTGCATCTACTCTACTATCCACAAAAACGGCCCATGGAGCTCCGCACCTGTGGATTGGAAGCGAGTATTGATGGACGTGCAGGGCTCTGCCTACTGGTGCACATAGCAAAATTCATGTGGCGGGGATAGAGCTAAGGGATTCTGAATGAGGGAGGGGACGTAGGCATGGGGCAGAGGGTTGGGGTGCAAGGGTGTGAGGGTTTTGGCTAGGGTTGAAGGCGCTGGAGTGAGGTTGGGGATGTGGGGCTCAGGGCTGGGACAGAGGGTTGGGGTGCAGGGGTGTGAGGGCTCTGGCTAAGGGCACAGGCTACGGGGTGGGACCAGGTTGAGGGGTTTTGACAGGAAGGAGCGTGCTCCGATGCTACTGCAAGCAGTGAGGGCTGCCCCCCTTCTCTCCCCGCAGCAACATGCGAGCTGGGAGGGAAAGGAACCCCTCCCCGCTGTGGGTGCTCTGGGGCTGGGACCGCAGGATGGGCGGCTCTCCCTCCGGTTCCATCCAGGTCTGGGTTGGAGTTGGGGACGGGCTACCCCGGCCATGGCGGGGAGACTCCTTGCCAGGCCACAGTAGAGGGACTCCGTGGCTGGGCTGCGGAGAGAAGACTCCATGGGCTGGGTGGCCAGGCTGTGGCCAGGCCATTTCTGGGTCGGATTGCTCTGACTGCAGCAGCGGTATTCCAGGGCTGGGCCGCTCCAGCTGCAGCAGAGGCACTGCAGGACTGGGCTGCCCCAGATCTGGCTGGGCTCGGGCTGGGGAAGAGGTGCTGGGTTCTGGCCGTCCCTCTTCTGGCCATGGCAGGCTGGAGGCTGGAGGTTGGTCTGAGGTGAGGCAACCTTTCCTTGGCTGTGGCTGGTCCCCCTCTGGGATGGGTTCCATTAGCTCCTCCCCAGCACTATGTCGGCAGGCCGTGCAGCAGTTTGCAGGTAAGTTAGCTTCTGGGTAAGAGACTTTGCTGAGAGGTAACTTGGAGATGGCGGAACATTTTGTGGTTAATAACAAAAAGGTTAGTGCAGACAAGCAGAAGGGCCAGGTAAATGCCGGCAATCCAAACTGTGGAGGGAAAAGAAAGAGAATAGTCATCATCTGTGACTGTCCTTAACTTAACCTTTCGGCCTTACACATAATTCAAAGCTAGAAGGCCTGAGACAAGCTGTCGCAAAGCAGTCCTGACTTGCTTGGGTAGCTGCCTCCTTCTTCACCAATGGAGAGTCATTGGCTTAAGGGATGGCAGGAACATTAGAGGGACCTGTCACATGAAATGAGTGTGGGCAGCACAAAGAATGGTCCCTGGCTAAATCCTTCCTTCTGCTACAACTGTGCCACTCCAGTGAGAGCAAGCATGAAGCAGGGCAGAATTTGGCCTGGAGACTATAGATGTGAATGCAGGAGTAGAAACCAGTTTCCTTGTAAAATCCTGCATCCTCCGGATCAATCTGTGGCTTGGCCCTTACAGTAGTTTAGGCCTATATCCTCATTTAGGCCTGTATCCTCAAAGGCATTCAAGTGCCTAACTCCCATTGTGGGTGGTAGGTGTCTAAATACCTTTGATGAGTGGGGCCTTAGTGTCTTCATCTGTCAGGTAGGGCTATCGATCCCTACCCTGTGGAATACTGAGGGCTGATTAATTCATGTAGGGCCTGAAATGTTCTAAGTTATTCATAATGTATTTTAAGGAGCGCTGCAACTGTCCCATGTGGCAAAACCTGTTCCCACTCTGGCAAAGTTGAGGGGCGCCTTCTCAGTGGGATGTGATGACTGTACGGGTTACCTGTTTACCTCACATTGGAGATTAGAATGCTAAATATCAAACATTCAGTCTGTCTTCAGAAAAACATCTTCCCTCCCTACTAGTTGGCCCCGAGTTAATACACACTCACCACAGAAAACATATTGGCCACTGTTGCTCCCAGGTAGGCACAAAAGAATGCTGTGGAACGATAAACAGACAATTCCCGATCAATATGATTACTGCCAGCACTGAAGAAATGAGTAAGGACAATGGTCATGGGCAAGCCGTACTACATCACAGTGCAGTCCCCTTCTCCTGTCGTTCACGGGGGCATAAGGATTAGTCTCATTCTGAACGCTCCTTTCACAGAGAGTGTTGTGAAAAAGGCACAACAACTCTTGCCCAGCAATAGCAATGAAACAATGAAAGGAGCTAATCTACCTGGATTTCAGGAAAGCAGTTCCACATGGGAAATGTTAGATAAATTGCCAAAGATGGTAATTAATACAAGAATTGGAAGGTGGGTAAGGACCTGGTGAAACGGGAGATTACAATAGTTCATACTGAATGGCTGACAGTCATGCTGGAGGGAGGTTACTAGTCAAGTTTCTCAGGGATTTCAGATTTGGGATTAAATTTATTTAACATTTTAATTAATGACCCTCGGTTCATATCCATTCACAATACTGCTTGCAGAGCCCATTTTCCTAGCCTGTTGCTTGGACCCATCTATTAGCATCTCTCCATGGAATTGCAGGGTTGGAAGAGACCTTAGGAGGTCATTGAGTCCAACCCTCTGCCCAAACAGGACCAACCTCAACCAAATAATCCCAGCCAGCGGTTTGTAAAGCCGGGACTTAGAACCTCAAAGGATGGAGATTCCACCCCCTCTTTAGGGAACCCATTCCAGTACTTCACCACCATCCTAGTGAAATAGCTTTTCCTAATATCCAACCATTGCTTCTCCCTTCTCTATTGTTTCAAATGTACCCTACTTGGCTGTGTCTAGACTGGCAAGTTTTTCCGCAAAAGCAACTGCTTTTGCGAAAAAAACTTGCCAGCTGTCTACACTGGCCGCTTGAATTTCCGCAAGAACACTGACGATCTCATGTAAGAAATCAGTGCTTCTTGCAGAAATACTATGCTGCTCCCGTTCAGGCAAAAGTCCTTTTGCGCAAAAGCTTTTGCGCAAAAGGGCCAGTGTAGACAGCTCTGATTTGTTTTGCACAAAAAAGCCCCAATTGTGAAAATGGCGATCGGGGCTTTTTTGCGCAAAAGCGTGTCCAGATTGGCACAGACGTTTTTCCGCAAAAAGTGCTTTTGCGGAAAAGCGTCCGTACCAATCTAGACGCTCTTTTCCGCAAATGCTTTTAATGGAAAACTTTTCCATTAAAAGCATTTGCAGAAAATCATGCCAGTGTAGACATAGCCCTTGTGTTTACTTCCAATGCCCTTCACAGCATATCCCCACCCTACATAGCAACTTTTATTCAGTTTCATGATGCTGACTTGTTTCCAGTCAACCCAAGGGATCAGCCTTCATTGTCCACTTTTTCAATTTCCCACCTTGTCAGAGACATGGTTCCCTCCCTCTTCTTCAGTATTGTGGGTCACTTGCTGGCCTGAACTACTGTAAATGGTGACTTCCTTGTAACTTGAAGTCTGTCAGTCAAGATTGTGGGCTCTGATAACACAGACAGACATTCTGGGCCTTTTCAAGAGTGGGTGTGTGAGGTTCATGCAATGTGCAGGTCAGAGTGATTATGATGGCTCCTTATAGCCTAAAAGTTTACAAATTAAGAGTGTGACTATGGAAACAGAAACTTTGGAAATGTGTCTACTCAAATTGCAAGGCTGTAGTTCAAAGACTAGCAAGAAATGGAAAGTAGTTAACTTCTGTATCTGTTCCATCTTTATTACACAGCTGGACAACAATTGGAGTCAGTGAAGAAATCAAGTCTCATTTACTGAATGAGCTAAGGGTCCACTCTGAGACCCATGCTGGGTATCAATATATCCACGTCATGTGGAATTTCTTTCTAAAGGCGTACCTGAAAGAACTCTGCTAACTCACAATTCTACTATCCATTTAAACAAGGATAGTAAGTCGAGCAGTGTAGTTGGAAGTAGAAATGGATCTGGAGCAGTCTGGTTCTGAGGGTCTCCAGAATTTAGGCATGTTCACATCTGGGGAAATAGTTTGGGCCCATGCCTGGTTTCCTCTCTACCAGTCTGATGCGTTGAAAAGCTTTGAACAGCTACATTTTTATAGATCAGAACCTTTATTCATAAGTCACCGTGTCATTAAGTAAATAGTTTTTGAAAGCCATTTCCTTTAGCTTGGTTAATGTATTGTTGTTCTGACAGCATAAATTAGAGTGACCGCCCTGAATCAGCACCTCTGACTGAAATAATTTCCAGCCTTGTCTAAGTTCATCTGCAGACCTAGATGTGGACTTTGTGGCTTTACCCTCTCTAGTATAAACACCTCCTGTACTTTCATTTTCAGAAGGAACTGCCCCTGTATCAGGCACCCATCAATACATACCACAGGCAATTGCTAGCAGGTGAGTCTGCCAAGTGAGAACATAGAACATGCCTCCGATCGCGATGCAGGCGAGGCAGCTGTTGTAACTCCACAAGCCAGCATAGATGCTGCTGAAAGGGGCTGCTAGGCTCAGGGCTGTACAAGAAGTCAGAGAAGTGTCACTGCTAGGCTTAAGGGATAAAAGAAAGCTGAGAACTGTAACGAATTAGATACATAAAGAGCTCAGTTTTCCCCTCAGGATATAGGCCTCACTCCCAGAGGGCCAAGTTCTGTTTTCACTCCCTTTGGAGTAAATCCAGAATAACGCCACCAAAGCCAGTGGAAGCCACTTACCGGAAGACTGGCACACTGGCGATTGATTTGCTGGGTTTGATTTAGCGGATCTTGTAAAGACCCGATAAATCAAATACTGAGGGTATTCCCATCAGAGCCAGTACTCCTCACTGTTGTGAGGAGTAAGGAGGTTGATGGGAGTGTTTCTCCCGTCAACCTCCTGCTGTGAAGATGGTACTACGCTCAGCTGTTGACTGCAGCTACATTATTTTCATAGCCGGAGTTGAGTACCTTAAACTGACCTTTTCCTCATGCAGTGTATAACTGGCCTCAAGCTACATCTACCCAACAGCAAAAAGTCGATGTAAGCTGTGCATCTCCAGCTATGCATCTCTAGCTTATTCACATAGCTAGAACTGACATACCTTAAGTTGAGTTACCAAACGGTCTGTACCGTTGGTGGGTGATCAGAGAAACTCTCCCATTGACTTCCCTTACTATTCTGGTAAGAGGTAGCATGATGGGGTAAGTGGGAGAGTGATCTGTGGTCAATTTGGTAGGTCTTCACTAGACCTGGTAAATTGACTGCTGGTGGATCCATCTCAGAGGGTCGATCTGAGCTGTAGTGTAGATGTAGACGGAGGCCAGAATCCTTGCCTCTGTGACCTCTCTGGAAGTTGATGAATGTTGGCAGATATGGACTGGGAGGCTAACATTCATAAAGGTATGTAGGAACCTAGCTCCCTGGAGAAGTTAGCCTTTTAGTTACCTTTTGAATTCAGGTCTAAATTCTTTCCCCTGCAGCTCCACATTTCAGAGCCCCGGAAATCTCTCTTTCTTTGTAGAGCTGGTCAGAAAGGTCAGTATATTTACTAAACATTTTAATTTGAATTTTACCATAAATATATTCCATATTTTCCAAGAAAAATTCTAAACAAAATTGGAAAAAAAAAGCAATTTGGAAAAATTTGATTCATTTTGGCAGGGAAAAATCATTTGCGTTCTCTCTCTCTCTCTCTCTCTCTCTCTCTCTTTCTCTCTCAGTTTATCCACTGAAAAAGGGGATAGGGGAAATAAAAAATGTGGAAGTGGTTTTTCTCTCTGTGCAATGAAATGATTTAAAAAAAATCTTGAAATTTTTCATCACAAAATCAGAACTTTAATGAAAATGTGATTATGAAAAGTTTTCATTTGTGTCAAAAATCCATTTTCCATCAGGAAAATTGTTTAGAGATTGCAAATATTTCCACCAGCTTTAATTTGTTATATTCTAAGTAATCATGTAAGACATCTGTAAAAGAGAAATAGCTTGTAATACCTGCCAGAACCCCCACTGTAGATCCAATTGTGGCATGCAAGCAAATGAGTGGAGAAGAGATGAATAAAGCTACCAGGAAGATGCCACCAGTCCAGGGGTTATCACAGCCATACACTTGACCGACGCCAACTGGAATGGATTGGAATAGCTACAGACATTTTAAGAAGACAGGTCAGTATATATTGTTTGCAGTAGGGATATTACATTCGTTTAATCAACTAATTGACTAGTCAATAAGAACATAAGAATGGCCATACTGGGTCAGACCAAAGGTCCATCTAGCCCAGTATCCTGTCTGCCAGCAGTGGCCGGTGCCAGGTGCTCCAGAGGGGGTGGACCAAAGACAATGATCAAGCAAATTGTCTCCTGCCATCCTTCTTCAGCCTTTGACAAGCAGAGGCCAGGAGTACCATTCCTTACTCCCTGGCTAATAGACTTTTGTGCACCTAATCTCCATGAATTTATCCAGCTCTTTTTAAACTCTGTTATAGTCCTAGCCTTCACAGCCCCCTCTGGCAAGGAGTTCTACAGATTGACTGTGTGCTGTGTGCAGAAGAACTTTCTTTTATTAGTTTTAAACTTACTACCCATTAATTTCATTTGGTCTCCTCGGCTGTGTCTAGACTGGCAAGTTTTTCCGCAAAAGCAGCTGCTTTTGCGGAAAAACTTGCCAGTGTCTACACTGGCTGCTTGAATTTCCTCAAGAACACCGACGATCTCATGTAAGATTGTCAGTGTTCTTGCGGAAATGCTATGCTGCTCCCATTCAGGCAAAAGCCCTCTTGCGCAAATGCTTTTTCGCAAGAGGGCCAGTGTAGACAACGCGCTATTGTTTTGTGCAAAAAAGCCCCGATCGCGAAAATGGCAATCGGGGCTTTCTTGTGCAAAACCGCATCTAGATTGGAACGGATGCTTTTATGCAAAAAGCGTCCGTGCCAATCCAGATGCCGTTTTCCACAAATGCTTTTAACGGAAAACTTTTCCTTTAAAAGCATTTACAGAAAATCATGCCAGTCTAGACATAGCCCTCTAGTTCTTATATTATGGGAACAAATAAATAAATTACCCCCTGTCATATTGTATTTATAGTTGGAGTTATTTTTTCCGATGTGCATTACTTTACACTTATCCACATTAAATTTCTTTTGCCATTTTGTTGCCCAATAACTTTTTGAAGTTCTTCACAGTCTGCTTTGGTCTTGACTATCTTGAACAGTTTAGTATCGTCCGCAAACTTTGCCACCTCACTGCTTACCCCTTTCTCATTTATGAATAAGTTGAATAGGATTGGTCCTAGGACTGACACTTGGGGAACATCATTAGTTATACCTCTCCATTCTAAAAATTTACCATTTATTCCTACCCTTTGTTTCTTGTCTTTTAACCAGTTCTCAATCTATGAAAGGATCTTCCCTCTTATCCCATCACAACCTAATTTATACAAGAGCCTTTGATGAGGGACCTTGTCAAAGGCTTTCTGGAAATCTAAGTACACTATATCTACTGGATTCCCCTTGTCCACATGTTTGTTGACCCCTTCCAAGAACTCTAAAGGTACGTCTACACTAGATCATTAGTGCGAGCTAGGTAGAGTAATTAGGGCAAGCGGAGTTGCAAATGAAGCCTGGGATGAGTAATGGTAGTTCGAATTAGGATCTTTAATTCAAACTACCTATTCCGTGCCGCGTGTAGCTGCAGGCACGGAGTTCGGACTAAGGGGGATTTAAAAATGGTGGTGCCCGGGAACATTCAAATGAAGCCTGGGATATTTAAATCCCGGGCTTCATTTGCAACTCCGCTTGCCCTAATTACCCTACCTAGCTCGAACTAACGAGCTAGTGTAGATGTACCCTAATAGATTAGTAAGACATGATTTCCCTTTACAGAAACCATGTTGACTTTTGCCCAACAAATTATGTTCTTCTATGTGTCTGACAATTTTATTCTTTACTATGGTTTCAACTAATTTGCCTGGTACTGACGTTAGACTTACTGGTCTGTAATTGCCAGGGTCACCTCTGGAGCCCTTTTTAAATATTGGTGTTATGTTAGCTGTCTTCAAGTCCTTGAGTACAGAAACTGATTTAAAGAACAGGTTACACACCACAGTTAATAGTTCCGCAATTTCACATTTGAGTTCTTTCAGAACCCTTGGGTGAATGCCATCCGGTCCTGATGATTTGTTAACATTAAGTTTTTCAATTTGTTCCAAAACCTCCTCTAATGACTCTTCAGTCCGGGACAGTTCCTCAGATTCATCACCCACTAAGGATGGTGTAGGCTTGGGAATCTCCTTAACACCCTCAGTTGTGAAGATTGAAGCAAAGAAATCATTTATTCTCTCTGCAATGGCTTTATCATCCTTGATTGCTCCTTTGGTATCTCGAATGTCCAGGGACCCCACTGGTTTTTTAGCCGGCTTCCTGCTTCTAATGTACTTAAACATTTTGTGTAAAGCCTGCAGTCTATACATACCCTCCCAGTCTATACATATCCTCTGTAGAAGGGCACTGTGGTGGATGAAATGTGTCCAGGAAAAGGAATATGGTTTGTTATTTCATTTTTCTGCACATGTAAACACTGCCTGCATAAAAGGAAATTTCCCACAGTAATCACACAGGCAGGAGGAGGAGAAAGAATCACTTCTATGGCCTTAGGCATATGAGAGGAGGGCATCACTAGTGCTTATATGGGGGAGTGGCAGGTAGAGTTCACAATACACCCACCCCCCCACTCATGTTTTGGCTCCAGAAATCTGCGCTGGACTTGTACCCCCATTTACATAATGGTCCTGTACAACATAACAGGGATTAAGCCAACAGGATCTAATACAAAGCCCTCCAAATAAATACAGAATGTAATAAAATTGCCAACTTGCTTCAAGGCAGTGTAGCTGCAGCCCTGCTGGTCCCAGGATATTACCAAGACAAGTTATTGTTGGACTGAACCTAGTAATGTTTGTTAGATTAAACACTGTCTTTTCAAGAGGCCTCCAGTGTTGATTTAAAGACATCAAGTTATGGAGAAGACACTCCTTAGTAATTTGTTTCAGGGATTAATTAACCTCACTGATAAGAATTTATGCGTATTTGTAAGTTGCATTTGACTGGGTTTAACTTCCAGCCATTCATTCTTAACATGCCTTTACCCAATAGCTTAAAAATCCCTGTCCCATCTGCTATTGTCTCCGTGTGATGTGACTTATACACAACAATCAACCCATCTCTTGATTTTCTTTTTGATGTACTAAACCAGGGCTGTCTAACCGCGGTTTGCGAGCACACATGCAGCTCTTCCCCTCTTAAATTGCGTGAGTCACGGGGGAGGCTTCATGAGCCAAAGCCATCCCTGCACCCCTAAAAATGGCCCCCTGGCTCACTGTCTGGCATTCGCTGCACTCACCATCTGGCATGGTATAGCAAAATGGTGCTGATAAGATGGTGCTGGCCGCTGGGAGCCAAAAAGCCACCTGGAGTTTTGTTTAAAGGGGCAGCATCCTTTTTTTTTTTTTTTTTTTTTTTTGCGCTTGACAACTTTTTTCCTTTGTCCCTTTGTGCTATATCCCCAACTATTGTGGCTCTTTGCCTTTAGCAGGTTGGCCACACCTGCGCTAAACAGAGTTCCTTAAATCTCCCATGTATGTCACCTGCTACTCTCAGGCTTGCTGCAAATGTTTAAGGCACACTGTGCTACTGTAGAAAAAACACCAGAAAGAAGAAAAAATCCTGTGAAAATCTATAAGAGAGTTTACTTGGAATGAAGTCCAAGCAGCAAAGTTGAAGCTGAACAATGGAACATTTCAAAGCCAATCTTAGGCTCTCTTAGAGCTAATTAGTAGTCTGTGTTTTTTGGCTTCCACTACCTGGGATTTTAAATATCATCTGGTAGCATGGGGCCTGATCTAATTCCAACTAAAGCCAGTTGGAGTCTTACCAATGACCAGGATGGGAGTTGAATCAGGCTCATAGTCCCTAGGATTGAATAAGGCTGTTTGCTATTAGTGCTTCCCCGCCCTAGCATTTCAGCAATCTAGATCTGCATTTCAGCATTTGCTTTGGCCTTTTGTTTAATCTGCACCAGAGAGAAATCAGCCTAGTTTAAACACACCAAAACTCCTTTCAAACCTCCTGGCTAATTCAGGCTCTACGATTTCACAGTTATCAGCCTCCTTTCATTTTGCAACAATGCCACTATTTTGGGAATTTTATTCAAGCCATGCCAGGGGGCTAACACCACTGGTCATGACACTATCACTTACTCATTTTCTTCTCGTTGTCCGGCAAGGTATTTTGCTCCATGTAACATTGACCAAGGGATATGTTAATATGTAATCCAGAAACAAGTCACAGAGATAGTGAGCCTGGTTCAAAAACACTGACAACTTTAACCTTTTTTGGCTTCTATCTATGGTACTAGATACTGTAAGGTTCAATCTCTAATTTTTTTTCCATGACTGATGTTGTGTTGAGATGTCAGTAAGAGAGTAAACTAAAATCTGATGCTTTGACTGCCAAAAAATGAAAAAGCATCATTTTCATTTTCTTTGGAGTCTGCTCTTTCAGTCCATCTGCAAATAGTTCTTGCAGTATTGGGTAGCCAGCTGGAGTTTCTAGATGATCTTCTCTTTCACCTTTCAAGTTATTTGTGAAGATAAGAACATATTTCTAATTCCTTCTTTTTATATTAATAAATAGCACTGAAGTAGGCTTTATGTGCTCTCCAATAATGAAAGTATTTTCCAAGTAAAGGCTAAATTCTTTTCTGTTATAAGTGAGCCTCATAACATTCACCTCAAAGGAGCTTTGTTCATTTTCATAAGCAGAGAATCTGTTTCTAAACTTACCTTCCTTGTGCATCCCAAACTTTGGCATCAGTAAATGTTCGAGACATGAAAGGAATGCAGTGTTGGGGAGATAAATAGCCGCGCCATATATAATCCAATTTGCAGTTTAGACCTAGTTCTACAGTTCTTGTTTGATGATGTGCCCAATGGAGTTGTTCATTATTTTATTGGTTACATATATTTTTTAAATTCTTAGTAGAAGCTAATAAATAACATCTATTATCACTTTTTTTTTCATTCTCCACTTGGCAAAGGTTGATTCCCTTCTCCCAACTGTCCTGACATGTTTGAGGTTGAAATACTTATTTCTTCAAACTTTTTCTTTTACATTGGCTTTATTTAATGATGATAGCACAACTCTGGAAATAGCAATGGTTATTAGTTAACTAATGGTTATTAGTTATTGGTTAATAGTAGAGGGACCAGTAGATCAGCATATATATATTGGCTATTAAAATAATCTGCATTTCTGCCTGCACATGAGTTTCTAATGATCACATTATGGTAGTGTCTGTGCCAATTTCTTAACAGAAAGGTGGATCTTGAAGAATTTAATACACTGCATTAGTAATACATGGTGCAGGGGGTTAACCCGTGCATGAAAAGTTGAATATAACTATGGAGACGGGACCAGTGTCTCCATGGTAGTGGATTATTAGATTATTATTGATCTATAATATCCTCAGAGATATTCACAGAGGATTATAGCATGTATGTTTAGGTCTACTTGTGTGTGTAAGATACTTGGTAAGTGGCAGCTCAAAAACAAAAATCACCAAAACAGACAGTTGCCATAGTGAAGTATATCCGCTATTTGTTACCATATGGAATTGTATTAAGTCTTTGTCAGAAAATAAAAGGTTATGGCTCTTCATTGGCTTATTGTGTAAGCAGAGTGGAATTTTTTTTAGTGTTTTTTACCTTTGGCACATCAATTTGGGACCAGGTGATATTGGGCACTGTTTTTGCAGGTTGAATAAGGACTGTAGGGAAGAAGAGGTTGTAGTGTCCGGTGGCAGCTGAATATAAAGTCAATGCCATGTTGAAAGGCAGGGTGAAAACAGGAAGATCCCATTTACTGAAGATTGAGCCTAAAGCACTGGAAAGAACTGGGCTGAAAGAGAAGAACAAAATGATCTCATTAGAAGCTTGTGATAATTAATTCCTCAGATCTCTCAGCCAGTCTATTATTTTGACAAATGATTTATGAAATGAATACTCTTCATGCCTTCTGGGTTTTGTTAGGAAATGTCTAAGTTCTGGAGGTCCTTCTAATGCAATCAGATTTAGGTTACTCAGATTTTAGGTTACTGTGCAAGTCCCACCTCCATAGTTGTGCACTGCAATTAGTAGTACACAGATTTCCTATCTGCTTTCATTACCCTAAAAATATTTCAGGACAAATCTGCCGTTGGTGTCAGTTAGAGATGTTAAAATGAGATTATTTGTGGAAACATGTAACTGCTGGATTTTTCATGCAGGGGATGGCGGATGGGGAGGCAGGAGTGCTAAGTTATCTCCCTGTGAGCACCAGCTCCCCCTCCCCTGTGTTGCTGTGTGGAGGGACGGGGAGCAGACAGCTCCACAGGAACCCGCATGTGTGGGGAGCCAGGTCCCTTCATATACCAGCTCCCACCTTCACTCCCGCGCTGCTGCCTCTTTGGTAGGCAGCAGGGGAGGGGGAGAGGAGACGGCTCTGTGGGAGATGGCACATGCCACCAGCTCCCCACGTGCAGTCTCTCACTTTTCCCCCCCCCACACTGCCTGTGATGCAGAGGCAGCAGGGTGTGTGTGCATGTAACCGAAAGGGTTAACTAATGAGCCCTGGTTGATCTGTTAACTGTGTACTTGGACACACGTTTACATCTCTAATGTGAACTGGCGAAGCTCTATTGACTTTGATGAAGATAGTTACACCAGCTGAAGATCTGCTCCTTAATTTATTAGAGCTAGAGAGGGGATCAAATCAGACCAAGACCAGCCATGAGCAGAGAGAAAGCTGGGATTCTATCCAAGTTTATGGGTCAGAATCATCAATAATTAAAACAACAGGGAACTTGAAGGGAGGTTCCAAAGAGGATGGAGAGAGGATGTTCTCAATAGTGATGGATGGCAGAACAAGGAGCAATGATCTCAAATGACAATGTGGGAGATCTAGGTTGGATATTAGGAAAAACTATTTCACTAGCAGGGTGGTGAAGCTCTGGAATGGGTTCTCTAGGGAGATGGTGGAATCTCCATCGCTAGAGGTTTTTAAGTCTTGACTTGACAAAGCTCTGGGTGCGTTGATTTAGTTGGGATTCATCCTGCTTTGGGCAGGGGACTGGACTTGATGACCTCCAGAGGTCTCTTCCATCCCTATGAATTTAAGGTCCCCAAGAATCAGTAGATGGTTAGAAGATAGGAAACAACATTTTCACAATCGAGAGAGGTAAATAGGCAGGCCATAAATCTGTACCGAGTCAAGTGCTGTTCGATATATTAATTAATGATCTGGAAAAAAGGAGTAAACACTGAAGTGGCAAAGTCTTCAGACAATATAAAATTACTCAAGATAGTCTGCTTTGGACGTAACTATGAAGAACTACAAAAAGACTTCACAAAACTGGGTGACCAGGCAACAAAATGGCAGATGAAATCCAATGTTGATAAATGCAAAGTTATGCACATTGGAAAACATAATCCTAACTGTCCATACTAAAGGATGAGGTCTATTTTAGCAGTTATCACTCAAGAAAAAGATCTTGGGGATAGTTCTCTGGAAACATCTGCTCATTATGCAGCAACCCAAATTTGGTGGTCTCTTCTGGCTTTAAATTCTATTCTACAAAACTGTTTAGGCTCTCTCAATCGGTGTGCGACTTACCAGGTCATGGATGCAAAAGTAACAGGCAGGAGAAGCCACCAATAGAAGTTTCCCTTGTCAGAGAACACTGCTATGAGCAGTCCCACCAGGACCCCGTTATAGCCATGCAGTCCTGCCGCTATGGCCGATCTGTGGGAGAAATGAAGGTTTGGTTGTTGCTGAAGATCATGTAAATGCATCTCTACCTAACACGGTTCCTTCACCTGCAGTGAATTGCTGCTCCCTGTGCTGGAATGTAATTTCCAAGTGTGATGTTATAGAATTTTGGTGTGAACATACAAAACCTCTGTAACATGTGTAAGCAAGGGCTGAACTTCTGCTTGCTATCAGCTAGCTAAAAGGAGGGGTGGGGTGCCTGGTACAATTGTTTAGATCTGCAAGATAATTAACTGTTAACTGTTGATATGTAAATACAGCTTACGCCAGGATGGGGAGAGAATACGAGGTGTGGCTATGTAAATCCTATTCAGCCAGGGCCGATGGAGGGTCAGTGTTGGAATGGAATGTGGAGAATTGTAAATAATTTGGGACTGTTGTCGGGGTCACTAATCAGGCTACCCCTAAATGCAGGAACTGTAAAACATGCCACAAGTGCTTGCAAGGGAGACACCACCATCATTGTAAGAGGTCTCTGAGGAACAAGCCTTCCCCCTTCCAGAGTAGAGTGAACTGAGCTGGAGGGAAGGGTTAAAGGGCTTGAGTCAGCCTGCTTCACGCCTGCCAGGTGTGAGCTGTAAGACTGGTCCAACCTGCCCCTTTCCCCCCTTTGTTTTAAGGACAGACCTAAAGCAGACTCTCTGAGGAGTCTTTTCTTTTGCTAGTCTGGTGCAAGCTGGATTCCTTTGCCAGTCCAGCTGGTGGCTGAAGAGGGAAAAAAGGGGAAGAAATGGTCTGTTAGAGTGTCCCTTTGTTCATCTGAAGAAGTGTATTATGTCCACGAGGCGTACAGATAGTTCGGAATAGCTAGCTAGTTCGAACTATCTAGCCCGTGCCGCGTGTAGCCGCGCGGCACGGGGTTCGCACTAGCCGGCTTTTAAAAATGGCGGCACTGGCTTTATGCTAATGAAGCCCGGGAAATTCAAATCCCGGGCTTCATTAGCAAGTTCGGTATGCATACATTACCCCGCTAGTTCGAACTAGCGGAGTAGTGTAGACATACCCTCAGTCATGCCCCAGAACAGTGTGGCTGCGTCTACACTGGCATGATTTTGCACAAATACTTTTAACAGAAAAGTTTTTCCGTTAAAAGTATTTGCACAAGAAAGTGTCTATACTGACATGTGCCTTTGCGTAAAAGATTTGCTTTTGCTCAAAAGCATCCGTGCCAGTGTAGACGCTCTCTTGCGCAAGAAAGCTCCGATGGCCATTTTAGCCAGTGGGCTTTCTTGCGCAAGAAATTAACGTTGCTGTCTACACTGGCCCTCTTGTGCAAGAATACTTGCACAAGAGGGCTTATCCTGTCAGAGTATTTGTGCAAGAACCACTGATTTTGTACATTACAAAGTCAGTGTTCTTGCACAAATACTCGCGGCCAGTGTAGACAGGCAGGGAAAAAAGCAGCTGCTTTTGCGCAAAATCTTGCCAATGTAGACACAGCCTGTTTCTCAACCAGTGGCACGAGTACCCTTAGAGGTATTTGAGAGAAGCATTGGGGGGAGGGGGGGTGTACTTCAACACAACTGAAATGTGGAGAAAACTGAATTTTTGTTTTAAGCTTTACAACGCTTTATTATTTTTGTACTTTTTCCACCTAAAAATGTAATTGCCTGCCCGGCTATGATTAAGTTGTTTAAACAAATGTGTTGCAATGGTAGAAACAAAATTTGTGTGTCTGAATATTAGGTACTGGGGTAGCCGGTATGTAGTTTGACTGTAGGAAGACAGATCTGTTTAACACAGCCCCAAAGCGAGCATGGATGTAACTTTTCTGTTGCTTATATCTAACAGAGAGATTGGTGGTGGGGGTGGGAAGGTATATGACTCTGGGTAATTTTCTGTGTGTAGCCAGTTTTACTCCAACACTGCTGCCTTATGTGTGCTGTTACTGTTACTGCGTGCTCAAATGAAGGTGACCCCATAAATGGTGCCAATGTGAAGTATAGGAGTGGTAATGGAAAATTCATGGCGAGTGTAAAAGTCAATGGAAAAAGTTGTTAGGGCAAATTACAGCTTCAAACATCACTAACAATGCCTGCTCAGATAGGCTGTGTCTAGACTGGCCAGTTTTTCTGGCAAATCAGCCGCTTTTCCGGAAAAACTTGCCAGCTGTCTACACTGGCCACTTGAATTTCCACAAAAGCACTGACTTCCTACTGTAAGAAATCAGTGCTTTTTGCGGAAATACTATGCTGCTCCCGTTCGGGCAAAAGTCCCTTTTGCGCAAAAGGGCCAACGTAGACAGCTGAGATTTGTTTTCCGCAAAAAAGCCCCAATCGTGAAAATGGTGATCGGGGCTTTTTTGCAGAAAAGTGCGTCTAGATTGGCACGGACGCTTTTCCGCAAAAAGTGCTTTTGCGGAAAAGCGTCCTTGCCAATATAGACACTCTGTTCCGCAAATGCTTTTAATGGAAAACTTTTTCATTAAAAGCATTTCTGGAAAATCATGCCCGTCTAGACGTAGCCATCATGTCCCCCCCACTCCTGTACCCTAGTTTCTGCCCAGACTCTGAACCCCAACCCCATTCCACTCCTGCACCTTTCCTTCTTTCTTCCTTCCCAGACCCTGTACCCCCACCCTCAGCTTATTCCTGCACCCTACCTCATGCCTAGACCCCGCACCACTACCACTAGCCCTCTCTCCTGCAGCCCCCTCTTATACTGAACCCCTAATTTTTGTGGTCCTACCACAGAGCCTGGGGCCCACATAATCTATTAGTCCTGAAACCCCAGAAGAGTTAATCTGGCCCTGGTGGGAAGCCTTGAGCCTTGTCACCTACCCCTTAGGGCTGGAGTGTGAGGAGGAACCCTGGAACTCAAAATTGCATGAGTGAGGTGGGTGTCTTTTTTCCTGCTTTTCACTTAGAGGTCAGCTCAGTGAGGGTTTATTTTTCTCAGTCCACTTCACTAACCTGGCCCCCCAACTTTTTTTTTGCCTCTCACTTGTATGTGGCCCCCATACAAGTCTCTGTGGATCAGTGGCTTCTGACCCAAAAATGGTTCACTGCTTCAGGTCTAGATATATCTTAGGACTGCCATGACTGCAGGAAATTGGACTAGATGACCTCTTAAGGCTCCATGCAGTCCTATGATTCTGAAACTAGTTAGCTCAGATAAGTTCTACGCTAGACCCGGCAGCTTGGCTTAAGGTACACAACTCTAGCTACACACAATACATAACTGGGGTCGGCTTACCTTAAGCTGAGCATGGTGGCCTCCCTACTATGGGAGGCTGATGGGAGCAAATGCAGGAGCAGAAGTACCAACCACCAGCGGGGGCACCCTCTTTGTTCAATTTAGTGAGTCTTAACTAGACTTGCTAAAACAAACTCCAGAAGATTGATTGTGTCAGTGGCAGTCTATTTAGTGTAGACAAGGCCTTAGAGTCAGGGACATATGCAGTCATTTAATTTTGGCACCTTTGAAGGGTGAGGGGGTCATGCCACTGCTTTTCTGCCACTCCTTGTTCACACTCCTGATTAGACTGCAGCAGGACTGAAGATATAGCTGCATGGGTTGGACAGCCAGGTGTATTCTTATTTGAGCTGGGTAGATCTAAGCCAGCTTTGGTTTGGCTATTATAGTGTGCACAGCGCAAAACCCCTGGGCTTGTTTTGCCTTATTTGGGATTTCAGGAGCTCTGGCCCTTAGTGTGCAAGAAAAATGTATTTCTTAGTGAAGACAGCATTCCCCAGAGGTTCTGTTTCAGAGTATAGGAATAGACATGTGAAGCTAAGGCATTACTAACTACTCAGCACATCAAGAGGCAGATGTCTGAATGTGGGTCTTCTTTCTCACTTATCACAATATTTTGAATAGCACTTGATTTCCAGGTGACACCAGGCCAGCCTACCTGTCCTGACACAGAATCAGTGCTGTAAACGTTGAGACAACGGTTCCCAGGCAGCCTGTGATCGTCCACCAACGATTCTGGACAAGGAACCCAGCAATCATGATAAGCCCACTGAGAGGGTTATTGACGAACATCACCTGGGCCGTCCCTCGCAGGACCCAGTCGACAAACTGAAATGGGATTGGCTTATCTGCAAGAGAGCACATTGGACACACTTTGTAACTGGTCCAGGATGGTTTTCTAAAAAGGCAAGGAGAAATGCAAGGACACCAAATGCAAGGCAGCAAAACTGAGGAATGTATCAATGGGGCTGTAAAACTCAATTCAGATTTCATGATTGGCTGTACAGTGGTTTGCAATTGCAAAGTTAATGGAGATAAAAGTGCAGGAATTAGAGTTTTATAGAACAATGGGCCAGATTCATACAAACTGGCTTACGTATGATGGCTACATGTCAGGTGGCAGACTAGTTATCTTGCTACAGATTTATCAAGGGATCAAATCCTTATGGATGACACATTTAACTTCATACTGGCATTTGGGTATGATCAATATTAGTCTGTGAAAAGAAAGGGGAGCATGATAAGGAATGACCCCACATTGAAATAAACACAGGATGCAATTCACTCCTCTACAGAAGGGTTGGCACAAAAGGGTGAATTTCAGCTCTTGCACCCTCTGGGCTTGGATGGTGGATGAGCCTTGTGTTGGCTTTTTGCACAAAGGGGTATTTCCCCTATAATATAGGAATGGTGCTGTGTTATCTTTTCTCTTCTACAGTTTTCTGAACCAAATCCTTGTTGAATTACTTAACACAGATGGAACATGCTGGTTGCTATTTATTAGCCACAATTTTTTTCTGATGTACTCTAACTGGCACAGTTGAAATGGACTTACCTCGAAGCCAGTCTCCAAACTCTTTCATGTCTCCTGTGATATAGGAAAGGGCTCTGCAGAATCGCTTTCCACATCTTCTTTCTGAAGTCTGCCTGGGTGTCATCCTTTCCCCAATTGTTTCTGTCCTGTGTTCAACACTGCCTTCCATGGTTGCTTTCAAAGCCTCTGAAGGAATTCAGGAAAGGAGACAATGCATTACAATGCTCCAATATATCGGTTATTTATTTTCTGTGCCACCTAGTATTTGTCGCACACTGAACTTGGGAGCAACTAGAGAGAAGGTGGAAATATCTGTTTTTCATTCAAGTATTGCCATTCATTGGGTAGCTTAATCCTTCCTAGATTCTCTGTGTAGTCCTTCACAACGGATATGTCTACACTACCCCACTAGTTCGAACTAGCAGGGTAATGTAGGCATACCGCACTTGCAAATGAAGCCCGGGATTTGAATTTCCCGGGCTTCATTTGCATAAACGGGGCACCGCCATTTTTAAATCCCCGCTGGTTCGAACCCTGTGCCGCGCGGCTACACGCGGCACAAACTAGGTAGTTCAGACTAGGCTTCCTAGTCTGCGCGGCACAGGGTTCGAACGAGCGGGGATTTAAAAATGGTGGCACCCCGCTTATGCAAATGAAGCCCGGGAAATTCAAATCCCGGGCTTCATTTGCAAGTGCGGTATGCCTACATTACCCTGCTAGTTCGAACTAGTGGGGTAGTGTAGACATATCCGTTGTGAAGGACTACACAGAGAATCTAGGAAGGATTAAGCTACCCAATGAATGGCAATACTTGAATGAAAAACAGATATTTCCACCTTCTCTCTAGTTGCTCCCCTCAAGGTCAAGAAGGTCAGAAAGAATCATAGCCATCTGGATTGACCTGAGGTGTAATCCAGGTTGTACTTGCACTCAGTAATAACTCCTACCTAATTTCATTGGAGACCAACCCAGAGTTACACTTGTATTGATTTATTCAGTGCTGCTACAGGATCAAGTGAGAAGGGAATGGAACTCTTTCACACACGCGCACACACCTTCATACACCCAGGCACTCATGCATGCTCAGAAACTCATACACTTGTGCACACTATGAGTTGTGCAGAGAGAGCAGAAGAAGCCAAGCATGATGAGTCCTGTGTCTCTGCCTGTAGTCACCAATCCAGGCAGGCACGATGATTGAATGATCCATGGCTCTCTTCTTTTTATTGAACTGGGAGGCTCCTATCATGTACACTGACTTCTTTCTCCATGTCCATCACCAAGAGGCCCACCCAGACCTCATTTTTCTCATGCATATTAATTCCTTCTTCTCATCTTTACTGCATCTTTGTTTCTTGTCTTTGTCATGTGCAAGAGAAGATTACATCAGATCCCACCTAGCCCCTGGCTCCTTTCTATAGCCTCCCGGCTCCTTTCCACGAGAAGCTATGCAAATTCCCACAGAATTTGCATATCCTCTTTCGACCGTTCCATGTAGTCTAGATACGCCCTTAGGGTGCAATGTGGAATAGCTATTTTGGGGATACTCTGTTTCTTACAGCCAACAGAAATGTGCATTTTAAGCTGGACTTACTGAAATGAAGCCAAATTCAGCCAAGCACAAAAACAGAAGCTTAATTGTGAGCATGTGCATAGTCCCTCACACCATCATTCCCTTGATAAACATAAGCTTGTGCTTATCTGATTGACTGAATTAGGGCCTTAGGCACAGATCTGCTAAGCTATGTAGGTGCCTAGTTCCCAAGGCTGGACAGAGGCATGAGTGAGCCGGGCAGCTGCCCAGGGCACCAACTGATAGGGGGGCGCCTGATGGCAGCTGTAAGGGGTGCACGGCCCGCATCCCCGTGGCGCCGGCCAGCAATGCCCTTTCCCCCGTGGCTGCGGGGCCCTGTACGGCCCGGTGCGTGTGCCAGAAGCAACAGCTGGGCCGGCCTGGGCCGCACTTGCACTGTTCGCCCTAAGGGCAGGCCCTGGGCTGCAAACCAGCGGCTGTAGCCAGGTTGCGCATGCACCGTGCGCCCCAGGGGTGGGCCCGGGCTGTGCACCAGCGGCTGGAGCTGGGCTGCGCATGCGCTGTGCACCCCAGGGGTGGTGCTGCGCGCCCGTGCCCGGGGCGCCAGAATACCTCGGGCCGGCCCTGCTAGTTCCCAGGGAGTGCAATGAGAATTCAGAATCTAAAAACCTGTGCGGTTCTAGATTTGAATGCCTGAACTTCAAGAGGCTAGGGACCCAATCCGAGGCCTGTTGAAGTCTTTGGAAAGACTAATCACACATACTATATTTGAAAATCTTGGCTCAAGTGCTTAGGGAGTAATTCCCAAATGTACACCAGGAGCTCAAAATCCCCAAAGCTTTCACTGGAATTCACTCATTATTTGGAGGGTTAGGACTATTCAAGACCTATTGTTGAGGAAAAGATGACATTGCACCGAAAGTCAAACTGAAGCTACATTTCTTTTGATTGGTGGACTATTGCCTACAGAAGAAGCAAAATGTACTAGGGCACCCCTAGTGATAAGACTGTGAGTAGATTATTTAAATACAACACTGTATTTCACATACAAATATTGTAATTAATCCATTGTCCCTTAGGGTCTAACAATTGTTCCTATATGCTGCATATTACGGAGCTTCATGGCAGCAGTGGGGGTAGAGTTCATGCTCCAAAAGTATAGACCCCTCTTACTTACACAAAAGGAGAATCTCCCTTAGCTGTAGCAGTGCAGGGCCTAAAACACACAGTTGAGCAGTTCTGACTCAGTCTGGACAAACACACGGTTATATACTCACAGTTTACTGACATATAATATTGCACAACATTGAAAAAAATATGAAAATCAATTTTTTGCACAGCCATTAACTAATTGCTTTTTGTTTTGAAACACCAAAACTGTTAGCATAGGTGCTGCACCAAAACAGATGCAGCTGTGATCCCTGCCCAGAAGAGCATAGAATCTGACTTTACCTGTGTGCCCCAATAAATAAGGGACATCAACAGATAGGCAAGGGGAAGGAAAAGAAAACAAAGACAATATAAACTTGTGTAATTAGTGCTGCATGACCTATACATACATCTCTCTATGGTTCTGTTACTTATTTTTATTTTTTGTTTAACCTTCCCATCTTCTTAGGCATAATAGCTACAGCAAATGCTTTGTACTTTTAACTTTAAAAAAAAAAATCTCTTTCACATCATCCAAAAAAACCAAACCAAAACAAACAAACAAAAAAAACCCCACACACATCCCAGGTATCAGAATTTTCCATCCAAGAAGAGTGCTTGTGTCTACTAGCTGGATGTACAGGCAAATGACTCAGCATCTAAACAAAAGAATGCATCTATAGAAATGGGGGGAAAGGAAAACCCAGGGAATTATAAACCAGAGAGTTTTAACTTTTATACTATGAAAGATTATGGAGCAAATAATTAAGGAAGACATTTTCAAACATCTAGAAGATAATAAGGTGATAAGTAACAATCGATATGTTATTTGGCAAGAACAAATCATGTCAAACCAACTTGAAAGCTTTCTTTGACAGGATATCAAGTCTTGTGGATAAGGGAGAAGCAGTAGATGGAGACTTTAGTAAGGTATTTGATACAGTTATCAATGGTTCAAGGGCATAACGAGTGGGGTTTCACAGGGATTAATTTTGGCATCAGTGCCATTCAATATTTTCATCAAACATTTAGATTATGGCATAGGGAGCATGTTTATAAAATTTGGAGATACCACCAAGCTGGAAGAGGTTGCAAATATAAGAAAAGGTCTGAAGTAAATAGGATAAAATTCAATAAAGACAAATGAAAAGTAGTCCACCTAGGAAGGAACAATCAGTTGCAAACATAAAAAATGGGGAATGCTTGCCTAGGAAGGTGTACTGAGGAAAGAGGAGGTAGAGAAATTATTCTCCTTAGCCTCTGACAGGACAAGAAGCAATGGGTTTAAATTGCAGCAAGATAAGTTTACGTTGGCTTACTAGAATACATTTTCTATGGAGGTTGTGGAATCTCCATCATTAGGGATTTTTAAGAGCAGGTGAGACAAACATCTTTCAAGGATGGTTTAAATGGTGCTTGGAAGTTCCACAAGTTCTGGGAGACTGAACCTGATGACCTCTCAAGATTCTTTCAATTTCCATGATGCTATGACTTTTTCCTGTTAATTATTATGGAGAAAAATATTGGTTAATTCATAAAACCAATGTTTTTTGGGTTTGGCAGGAAAACGTAATCTGTTTTCAGTGCTTAGCATTCCACACTTGCTTCATTGCATTCTGATTGAGTAACTAGGTATTTGTGTACACGATTTTCTACTGGTAGGTTTATTGACAATCCTCACCTGGAATGTTCCTTGCAGGACCCAACTGACAAACTGAAACATGAGCAGTTTATTTGCAAGAGGTTGTGCTTTAAACACTTTATAAAACTCAGCGAAATGCAAGGATGCCACATTGTTTGGCAGCAAAACTAAACGTGTCAACAAGACTATAACTCAACTTAGATTATATGATTGCCTGTACAATGTTTTGCACTTGGAGTGTTAAGTGCTACCTATTCTATCAAAGTAATTTGGAAATGTTACAGAGTAGGGAACATAATGTCCCTGCTAAAAAAAGATGTACATACTTAGTCAGGTAAGCTGTGTAGTAAGAAAAAAGGAACATGCTTAAAGCCTTAATTCACCAGAACACATATTTAACTGGCTGTACATGCCTAAAAAGAACTTAAAAAAACATCAAAAAAATCTAGCAGCACCTTAAAGACTAACAAAACATGTAGATGGTATCATGAGCTTTCGTGGGTACAACCCGCTTCTTCAGATGAATGGAACAATATGAGTCCAGATCCAAGAATAAGTAAGGGGATGGAGGGGAGAAAGGAATGGAAAAAAATAGTTAGTGTTCAAGTTACAAGAAGCTGATAAGAACAATTTCCACTTGTCCAAATACCCATTGTTGAGTTGATTAAGTCATTAGACTGTGGAACATAGAGTGCTAGCCAGCCCATGTCTTTATTCATACATGCCTGAGTCCCTTCCAATTCAGTAAGGAACTTAAGAATTAATTGGTTTATTCCTCTGAAGCCAAAAAGGGATTTAAGTGTTTTGCTGAAGGTGGGCATAAGTGAAATTTAAACTTTATTGGTGCTTACTGTCTATGCA